GGCACCAACGCGTGATTAGATACAACCGAATTACAGAAGGAATTACGGGTGGATCATTATTAACTATTGGAAGTCAGTATTAGGAGGATTAGTAGAAGGAGTATTATAAGGGGATAATAAAGCAGCATTTGCACGCTCAGCATGATTAATAAATGGAATAAAGGTGGATACAGTTAAATTTTCATCCTCACCCTTTCTGGAAACATATTCAGCAATAGAATGGGCACGCAAAAGATGATAATGATTATTAGTAATGTTGGGTACTTCATATCCAGCTTCTTTAAACTGTCTTATAGTATCATCCAAGATCCTCCAAGAATGCCAATTTTGATAAGTAATATAGTCAAGTTTCCAAGCTAAGTTATGTTCATATAATTTTTCGAAAAAGGGGTCAGAAGTAGTAAAATTGGTTTCAATTGATGAAGTTATTGAAGGGTTTGGAGAATCAGGAGCTGAAGGTGTATTGTGTTGATTAATATTATAAGGATTTAAGAAATTGACTCTGATAGGTGTATTAGGCGTGTTTGGAGGTGGGAAATTATAAGCAGGAGAACCAGGTACAGGTGAAATATTGGTAGAAGGCGCTGCTGGATAGGCTAGAATTAAAAGAAAATTATAAAAGAAAGTATAAAAGGAATAAAATTAATTAATATAAATAAAAACATTGAAGATTATTATAGTAAAAGAAATGAAAGAAAAGACTCACAGCATATTATACCAAGGTTATGGCATCTTTGACACGCAGGATTTATTTGATATAAGCAGGAAGAATGGACCATGCGGCATTGAACACAAGGTGAAGCAACAGATGGAGGTGTAGTGATAACCATATTTATAATTAAGAAGGATATTTAAAGATTTGAGGAAAAATTCGAATTTATTGAGTAGATGATTTATTTTATTGATTGGTAAACTGGGGGCAGTTTGGGAAGAAGAGGAGGATGTGGTGATCTATTTATGATATTAAGCAAAAAAATTAATCATCTTTACTTTACCAGTTTATTAGCAAACTTCAATATAGCAGAGAATTCGAAATGATCAATTGAAGCTCTTAGAGGCTTATGTATACTTATTAGCTCATTATTATGTCATCTTATTTCAAAATTATTATTAAGATCAACATAGTTTACTTACAAAGTTATTACAAAAAGACAGAAAAAGAAAAGATAAGAAAAATTCGAAAATATAGGTGTAAAAGTTGGAAAATGGTTTTTAGCTTATTTATAATTAAGTTATGGGTTTTATAAGGTTAGAATATGAAAGAACAACAGTTTATTATACAGGAACAATCTTAATATTCAAGGTTGATAAGGGGAAACAGAGGTTATTAGCAGAAAGGTACTTTTTCGAAGTTGGTAAACAAGGGTTAGGCGTGTGGTTTACATATGTAATGGTGGTAGTGATGGAATTTAAGGTGGCCAAGAGGATTTTCGGGGATTTTTAAGGTTATAGAAGATGATGTCATTTTACATGAGCAAGGAAAAGGGAGTAGCAGCTGTGAAAAGTGAAGAAAATAGGTGAAAATCGTCGAAAATGGAGGTTTTCAGCTAATTACATATGTCAAATGACGTCAGAATAAGTTGGTAGATGGCTCATTCAACGCAGAAGAGTGGATTACATAATGTACAACCTTTGAATCATTAGTAACGGAGGTGTATGTAAAAAGTATAAGGGAAATAAGAAATTGGTGTGAATCTCGAATTTACAGTCACAAGACACATGTAACACCAAAAACCTTAACTTCACAAATCAATATCTTACTCATCACTCATCAGAAGTAGGTCTTATAGGTGTCAGAAATGATCAGTAACACGTGGGCTACAAGATGCACTTTAGTAATCAAAAATTGGAGCACATCTGAAAAAATTCGTAATCTCAAAAATTGGGTTTCAGCTAGTTTACAAGGAAAAAATCACCTGTATTCATCTTAAGAAGTGCTGTACATTACATCATTGCGTCATTGATCACTTTTGGCTGTGAAAATTACATCATACATTAGTAACAAGATCATTACATTGCGTCATTACATGGCTTTTAGGGTTATTTAGGCGGATTTGATTGGTTTTTGAGGCTGTTGACTGTTGTAAAGATTGTTACATGTGGATATAAGTACTCCTTGATGATTTTGGGATTGTAGCGCCCTTTTCTGCATCTTATACCTTTGTTGTAGTGTTATAAATCATCATTTATTTACTATATTTGTACTAAGATCACTTAAATCCGCCCCTTCAAAAGCAAGGAGAAATTTATTTACGTGTGTTAAAGACTACAAGTCTAATTGGGAATAATACTTACAACAGTATTGCTAGTAATAAACATAGTGTGTGACTTTTTTGCGCTTAAAATCTGGGAATAATACTTAACAACAGTATTGCTTTATTTCTCTGGTGCCTTTTATCCTTTTCTCTGTTATCACAAAGTGGTCAGCAAGTGCCCTTGTGCTGGTTTCTTTGAAGAAGGCAGTCTTTAGGCAACTTCTACTATATTACACGTAGTAGATTATCCCTTCTTAGGTGTTGTAAAGCTCTTGTTGAGCTTTAAATACTACAACGGTGGTGCGGCTGAGGAAATGGAATTTCAAGACGCGGTGGTGTGATTCATTGTAGTCATTAGTATGAATGCCTTGCATGGGTACGATGCGCTCCGAGAGCATGCAGTACTCGGCTTGAGATACCCATTGATCTTGGAAGTAGGTCACAAAGGTGGGGCAGATGACGGAGTAGTCGCGTTTAAAGGCCTGCCAACGATCTCGCCATCTGGAGGCATGGATGACTTCCATCGCTTCGAGGTGCATCCGTCGAGCTGGGCCTTCGGGAAGCTGGTGTTGCGAGTTAGTGATTGAGATTGATTGGAGGTGGAGGGGGCGACTTACCAGTTTAGATGCTTTGGCACGGATAGCTCTGGATACGTGAAATAAGCAGTAATAGTGCTTGGGTGGGTTGCGAAGCTCGGAGTAGGTATCTTGGATGCCCTTCTTATAGGCCTTGGCGCAATCAGTCATGAACGCTTTGGGTTGGAAAGCGAAATTCTCTTTCAGCCACGTAAAGAAACGAGTGATGGTCGGCCTGTTTTTGGTGGTCAGAACGTTGTAAAGTCTGCGTGTAGAAGATGGGGGTACTCACGCCATTTCGTCGGATGTGATGAACCATGCGACGGGGTTCCACTTCCAGTGACGGGATTTCGAATAACAAGAGTGATAAGAGTGAATACTAGTTTTTTCCAACCGGGGAGCTCGATAGGCTGGCAAATGTTATGCGTGGCGTCGAAGCAAACGACGTCGGCGCCGTGAAGCATCATTTGCTTACGTTGCCAGGGTGAAAAAAAGCCAACGTGAAAGCAATTGTGAGTGCGGCGTATATCTTTGTAGGTGTGCCATCCCCGTTCTTGGAGTCGATGAATCCAAGCTTCCACCGATGCAAGAGGACAATCATGAAGCATCGTGATCTTCTTCGCCTGTTTGCGAATTCGGTTGGCAACAGTCTGGTATTTAAGGTTGAAGGCTTCGGGTACGGCGTTGAGGGCTCCATTCTCTTCCTGGTAAGCGTGAATTGGTTAGAATAGGTAGAGTGAGACCAGTAAAGCATCAAGTTTGCTTACGGGAAATAAATCTGGGACACGATTGAGGAGTTTGATGGTAGCCCAGGGTAAGCCGCTGACGACTTTGTCGGTGAGCCAGGTGTCAACGACGTCTGGTAATCTTTTATTTCGCATGTCTTCCAAGGAGAATGGATTGTGATTCTTGTGAATCCAATACCATTCGAACTCAAGGTACCCGTCGAGTGTCTTGCGAATGTAAAACTTAGCAGGACAACCTACTCGGTTGCTACCAGACGATCGGCGAGTAGCGTCGGTCTTCGTGACTTTGGTCTGTTTCGAGGGGTGACCGGAGGAGGAGCATAAGTATGTGCGAGTCCACTCGTGGCGACGTTTGGGCCCGGGTTTAGAATGATGGGGGCCGTGAAGAGCTTCGAGTGTTCCGGTGGGAGTGTGGTTAAAGCCATTTGGGAGTTCGCCTTGGTAAACCCAGGGGGAGGAGGATGTCATGGCGAAAACGACGTGTTCATTGATGCCCGCCTGACGCGGTAAGGTACATCTGAAGACATGCTTTGGAAAGGAAGGTGGGGTCCTAGTGGTGTCTCAAACAAATCGGTTGGACGACGGGTTGAAGTTGTAGCCAGCGGTAGGGGGAGCGAGGGCTACCAAAGGAAATGGTAGCCAATCGTGGACGTTGGCTATGAGGGGGAAATCCTTGCGCGTGGTGCGCTCCTTCTTTTCGGGTTCGTCGAAAGGCGGCGGGTTGTCCATTGGAAAGCGGTAGTCACCGTGAGGGTGAGACGCTTCCGTTTGGCGCGGTTTCGAGGAATGGTAGGAGGACATGCCCTGCGAAGTTCCAAAGAAGGTAAAGTTGAATACCTGAAGTTGATATCGTAGTGTACGCAAAGTGCTGTGAGGGACCTTGCGACATGCGGTTCTGCGGTCACCAGCAATTTCGCCTCCTAGCCGGACAAGCTGTCTGCCGATGGGTTCCAACTCAACAATGTGTGCGTTGAAATCTTTTGGGTATGTCAGGATATGCGAGCGTACGCGGCATATGGTGTCGTGGGCACCTTTTCCATTTAATTTGTGCGCTTCCGCGCGGTAATGGACATTTTACGCTTCACGGTGCGTGGATCCAGCGTGGAATTGCGCTCACACCGTTTTCACTGTTCGTCACCATTTTCCAGGCTCCAATTCAACAAACAAGGGAGGACGCTTTCCTTGTAGCGATGCTTGGACCAGCTCCACTTCGTGGGCCGGGCTGCATGGTGATCCGTTGTGATCACATATCGCTGACCGGCGAGAAGACGTTCGTGACCCTTTGCAGCAGATCACGGCAGACGGGCTTGTATTATCGCCCAGGAATTGAGCGTGATGATGCGGAGGATTTCCCTTCGGCAAAACGAAGAATGTTAACTTAAAATTATGTGGATCCTGCCTCGCGGATCCAACACCGGCAAGTCTCTTTTCAGACTTCGCACCAACACACTGTGCCCCGATTGGCGCATCTTTCCGCCACTGCCAAGCCTGACTCGAGGGACCTTCGGTCCCCGGGTAATACGGTTTCGACACCCGGTGAATCCAGACTCAATTCGTGGGATTTGCGCAAAGTGAAACAGAAGTCGAATTTGGAATTTCAAAAACCGAAGTCGAAAATCAAATGCTCATCTCTGTGTGGGAGTACAGAGATTCCCAATAGTTCTGGCAGATCACGCTGGTAGAATAATTTCAGGCACTTTACAGGTGCCGTCGTTCCTTTGGGCACCTGTGACATTCAAAACGCTCCACTCTCTCGGCAAACACCACAATGTGTGCATGCATACAGTCGGGGGCCGCCTGCGTTCTGGAAATGAGAACGTGCCTTAGAAAAGCTTGTCCTCAAGGCTTCATGGTTACCTTGACCAATGACAATTCATCGTTCTCAACTTTACACACTTTTGATCAGATTCAAGTTTTTGCTTTCACATCCTCCAATCATCATCGCTTCTATCAAAACAGGCTGTCGGAAGCCTACGATAAGCAGAATTATCTTACAGAGACTGCTACGAATTGATCGTGAGAAGATGTAGAACGTCAGGATTGATTAGTTGTTCTCGCTCATTGAGGTGATTTGAGATTTCGATTCAAGCAGGTGGTTTGTCTGGGAGTGGAGGGAAACTATCACATTCTCTCTCAAAAGTTTTGTGTTAATTGGATGGGAATCATCTTACACGCAGGGCACATTAAAAACCTGGTAAGCGTCCACAGAGTGGGTGACGCGAGTTGGGCAGGTCAGCTTGAGAAACTGTACAGCACCTATCAAAAGATGCTCAGCGGTCAGCTTTTCGTATCATTTGGCGACATGTTATGGTTCGCTGTCATGGTTCGCTCGTAATGATCTGACCATTGATCACCGTAGATGCAATCATACGGATCAAGCTAGTGATAGAAGTAAGCCGATGAATGATTGACTTACATAAATACCCAACCACGTATTGGCTGACCTGACAATTCAAACTTTCACTACGGTACCCAATAAGCCCTATAGGTTGGAGCGTATCGTAACGATCTGTTGAAATGGTATCGTAGGACGTCTGATCAGGAATGGACCAGCTCCTCTCTTTGAGAAATTCATCACCGCTGGCTCTGTTGACCGAAATTGAGGGTGCGGGTTGAAGAGATAAAGCAGTCACTTTTTCGCTTTCGCTGTAGATTGCCTTGTGATCGTTATCCCACTAGTGCTGCCACATCTTCACTCACCGCATCCAAAAAACACTAAAATGATACTCAACTCGTTATTTACCGTCTCTTGCGCTTTGGGCGTCTTGTGTTCTGTTAAAACAGATACTGCTTCTTTGCGAGCCAAGTTCTCCAAGTTAGGAATCGACGCTGTCTTTCCAGGAGATTTGTCTTACGAAAAACTCGCTACACCATTCAACAAACGTCTGACTTATATCCCAGCTGCCATCGTCTACCCCAATAGCACTGAAGCTGTCTCAGAGTCTGTTAAAGTAGCTGTCGATGAAAAGCTTTCCGGTGAGCTCGTACCATGTCGGATGCTCAGGAATTCCTTCAACGTCACCCGAACTAACGTCTCGCTTTCTTCATGCAGTCTCACCTCGCTCCGGCGGACATTCATACGGCTCTTATGGCTTAGGAGGGGCCAATGGCGCCTTAGTTGTCGATCTTTCGCGGCTCAAGACAGTCTCCGTCGATCAGTCTTCAGGACAAGCTGTTATTGGAAGCGGAAACAGACTAGGTGATTTGGCTATAGGGTTGCATTCTCAAGGCGGGAGGGCGATACCGCACGGTGAGTGTGGGTACATTGGTATTGGGGGCCACGCGGCATTTGGGGGGTAAGTCAACCGTTAACCAAAAAGCAAGTGAAGTACGTCGTGAGCTGACTCTTTGTCCTCGCCTTGCTTGATTTCCAGCTTCGGTCTCACGAGTCGGATGTGGGGCTTGACCTTGGACAACATTATCAGCCAAGAGGTGGTACTTGCAAACGGTACGATTGTTGAGGCATCACAGAAAAGCAATCCGGACTTATATTGGGTAAGGCGAACCAGGCTTTTTGCGCTCCTCATGACCATCTCACTCGCCGTTAGAACATCAATACTCAGAACGTTTGTCCCGTTGATAGGCTCTGAGAGGTGCAGGAGCCTCGTATGGTATCATGACATCAATGAAGTTTCAAACCCATTCAGCTCCCAGTGAACCTATCAATTTTGAAATCCAATGGGATTTTGACCATAATGACTTTGCAAACGCGCTAATGAATTTTCAAGTATTTTGTCGGTCCAATTTACCCGCCGAACTTGGAGTGGAAGCCAATCTGGGACAAGGGAGCCAACCTGGACGCCTGAATTTTGCCTTATCTGGGGCCTGGTACGGTGATAGCTCCAAGTTCCCAGCCGTCATCCAGCAGTTTTTGGATGAAATGGTAAGTTCCGATCACCACATGAACAGTTGGTTTTAATATCAATAACGCGTGTACCCTTGGATAAATTTAGCCAGTACCGAGCAAGAGGATCGTAAAGAAAACTGATTGGCTTACCAGCTTGCAAGGTTTAGCTGGTTTCCAAGCGTCTCCGACTTCGGGTAAGCCTGCTTGTATGTTCAGCAGAGCTCAGAGCGACTCGATGATGGATCTGTCATTGACTTTTCTTCCCGTACACGGACGTGAACTTATCAGCGGAGCATGATACCTTCTATGCGAAGTCTTTGACCACCCCACAATCGGTACCCATGTCGAAATCTTCCATTCAAGCTTTCTCCAAATATCTCTCGTCAGAAGGATGGAAAACAGACACGGTATTCAATAGATTTTTGTAGATTAATTCTCCTTTGTTTTGCTGATCCACGATTATCCGCACCATAAAGAATTGGTTTGTCCAGTTCAAGCTCTACGGTGGTCAGAATTCCGCCGTCACTTCCGTTGCAAAGGATGCAACGGCTTTTGCTCAGCGGTCCATTCTATGGACCATCCAAGTTAGCCACCTACTCACCTTCTTCGTGTTCTGCTGGCCTCCCTGACTATTCCAATTTTCTTGCGCCTAGTTCTACGCCTCATCCAGCAACTTTGCACCACCATTCCCAGATGCAGGATTCAAATTCTTAGACCAAATGGTTTCAAGTATTTTGAAGAATAATCCTTCTGGATGGAGATACGGGTCAGCACTCTCTTACGACGAGTGCTGCATGCTTGAAGGGAACACGCGACTGAAATCATCGCATCTTTGATTCTTTAGCTCCTATGCTAACTACGTCGATGATCGCTTATCTTCGGCTGAGTGGAAAACTCTTTATTACAATACACAGTTGAGTATTGATCATTGCATTTTGGTGTCCTCAGTTTCTGAGATGTCAAAATTATTGTCCTAGCTATCAACGCTTGGCGCAAATCAAGTCCGATTATGACACTCAAAATGTGTTTGCGTATCCTCAGAGCATAAAAAAGTAAGCTTTACACATCTGTATATCTGAGTTTGATTGATACCCTTGGACTGATCGATCTGTGGAATTTCTTTCAGGACCAGCGCAACTGGCACAAATGAAAAATTTGAGGCTTTCGATAAAGGCGAGAACTTTTCTCCAGTGAAAAGCAATGGCAGTTCCATCCGAACCAGCACTTCACAAGAGTTGCTATTCCCCTTCTTTTATGCCATGCCTGCTGATGGCTCTCAGTCTCTATCATAGCCAATGATTTTTCATATTCCTTTCTCAATATGTATGCATTCTTACTCTGATTGATCTGCTATTCATTGTGACTACACTGAATATTTGTGTCATTTGAACCCTTGCCAATATTTTTTATCTTAATCCAAGCGACACAGACTGTCCTCCCTAAAAGACATGCTTGTAATCAAAAAAAACAAATATCTATACTGATACCGCACTTGGTGAGTAAACATAATGATCGCTTGACCTTGAGATCAGATTCTGCCCTGGATGATACAGCCCCATGGTCATTCTTGGGAACCAGAAGAGATGGGTAAAGCACGAGTATAAATCCGTTCATTTGATGCCAATTGATGTGAAAGTGTAATACTGTTATCCTGGGTACGGAGAAAACAGAGCGAGTTTGGTTTTTTTCCAACTGAGAATTCAATATTACCAGGCTTAATTTGGTGACACAAAGATACCAAATCAGTAAGAAAGTCGTGAAAAAAGGTGGCAAAGTCTATCTGAAGTCATTATGTGGTCAGCATTCAGTATTGTGCGATCCATACTTCTGCTATCTCATTTTGACACGCATGTCTCACTGTCATCTCAATATGATAACTGTATGAGCTCATCTAAAGGATCAGTAGCTAGAGTATGTGCTTGTTAAACCCAACGTTCCAAGCGATAAGCCAGGATAAGCCTCTCGTTTCAAATCCAAGTTTGAAAAGTTTTTACGCATGCCATACATACTTGTATTTACATTTACATAATGATAAAATTATAGAGTGAATCGTGGAAGATATGGAACGTCTGACTAGGTACATGTTGAAAATTTTGATGCGTTGGATTAAAAATGATCTTTCGATTTTGATCAATTCTTAAGAAACAAAAATGTAGATACAAAGCATCAATATGGATAAATTTCGGATCTCGGAGATCAAAATATTAATAAAACTCACCAAACGCGTTGAAGTTTATACTTTAGCCATTCGATTTGCAAGTCTTCTTTTCGCAAAGCAACAAACATTGTTGCATAGATAGGTTCGTCTTTGAATAAATCTAATGCTTTGAACAATAATCCGGTATCTAAACTCTTCATTTTTTGTAATACGTCAACAGCCATTACCAAGTAATCTAAAGATGCTACCCTACTTTCTGATAGAGCTGCAGTAAGATCAACAGGCAGTTCATCAAGGAATCTATCATGCATAGATTCCATGGAATCGATAAAGAGTTCAGCACTCGACTCGCGAGGCTTCTTCTTTGCTGACTCTGATGATCTTATAGTTGAGACAGTTGAACTCGATCTTCCTGGGACATCTTCATTTGAAGCTGATTTATCTTTGACGAATTTTCTTTTATTTATCAACTTACTGCTTGAGATTGGAAGCTTCGCCATTGTGCTCGTCCTCGTCGAAGAAGCATGAGCTGAGTCTGATTCGAGCTTTGCATGTCGTAATTCCGGATCACGTTCATCTGATGACTGACTATGCGATTCTTCACTTGCTGACCTTTCCAACTGGTCGATATCGGTGGTCTCGTGGCGATCCGATTGAGGAAAGGTATTGAACTCGTCACGATTCTTTACCACTCCTCGATCAACGACGGCTCCAACAGCATCGTAGAGCGGGAATTGCCCCCTTCGGAACCATCCCAGACGTTTGTTGGTGGCGTTCTAGAATTCAAACCAAGTCAAGAAGTAATATCAAGAAACAATGTGTAAAAGTTCGACTTACCGGGATACTGGCCATTTCATCCCATCGTTCCGTTGAAAGCTCGATCATACTCGATTCCTCATTCCAACGGCCACCGATTTCCTTCTGCAATTGCTTTGCATCCTTGTATCTTCTAGACAACTTGACAAAGACAAACACAAACAGATGATGAAAATGAGACATCAGTGAGGAAGAAATCCGATGAACGAAAGAAAACTTACCAATTTCCAGTGTGAGTTACACATATCACCGGTTTTGACTTTACTCGAGCCTTCAGATCCCTTCAAAGCGTTTGCAATAGACCTCCAGATAGCTCTAACAAATCCATTGTGACAATCGATATTACTCTGAGAGATGTCAAGCATCTTAACCATAGTTTCCTCTTGGTCCTCTGTCCATTCGCATTTGGCTGGACATGCTGAGCGGATATCTTGATTTTGTTGTAAGTTCATTGTCGTATGAGATGATCGACGATATGGGTAGTGATATGATCGAAGTTGCCAGCAGTGACCGATCTGAACAGTTTGTATATGAGATTATGATGGATTTGACCGAGTATGTGAATTCTGAGTCAGCTGATCAGAGATTTTCAGGGCAAGTCAAAAACTTACCTGGCATTTTGAAGTCCAGAATTCGAAGTAAAGTTTTCTGATGATCTTTAAGATTTCCAAACTGATTGTCACAGTCAAATCCAGTCAAGAAGGACCAAGACGCACCGAGCCCAGATTCTCGCGCCTTAGCAGCAGATCTTCCGCTTTAAGAGTACTTTTTGACTTTGAGATCGGAGAGCATCGGCGTAATTTAATTGGATATCACCTCACAAAGTTCTTGCCAACAAGCAAAGTTAACACGAAGTCACAAGTGCGATTGAAATCGCTCTCAAACGGGCGAAATGCTGAATATTAATCAGGGATGATATCAAGTGGTAAGGAGAGTTGCAGGTCTAGAAATCCACCTTTGTGTCCCCTTACTACGCAATGAGAGGTCTCCGGAGTCCGGACTGAAGTGTTGAGAACTATCATATATCTGTCATGGACAATGGATGATGTCGTGCCTCACTAAACTTATGTGAGGCACGACAAGAAGGAAATAGACAATTCGCTGATCGGATTGCTATGTATGGCGTCTCATATCGATAAATAACCCAATTTTGAGACGCGTCGAATGTGATCAAAATTTAAAACCGAGTCATTGCAGTGTAATAGAAAGCCGGGAAACGAGGGTGGAATATTGGGTTTTCCGTTCGTTGGCGATCACGGCCCAAGCGGGAATCATATCACGCTTTTTCTCAAAACGTTTTGAGTTCGTTAAGCAAATGATGGGTTTCAGCCTCTGACCGAGAGCACGTTGGAAGACCGGAAAGCGCCTGGGTAAGAGGAGCTGGAGCTTCCAGCTGAACTTCCAGCTCCCAGACGGTCAAGCTTTGCTCATCATATTGTACAGCAGTCCCGCTCACCTTCATAAGACGCTCAGTGGTCATCTCGTGATTTCATTTGGCGGCCGGTGATCAAGTAAGGTTGGAATGATGTGTCGAATAATCATCGTGGGATCTCACAGCATATGGTCATTGATATCAAGCCAGATGTGAATTGAGCGGATGAAGTGTCGTGATCGAAAACCGCCCAGCGGCCCACTTGCTCAAACATTAAACATTGTTGGGAGGTCCTTGATCAGGACTGACACTGCTTGCTCATGGCTTTAGAAATCCATCACATACAGCTTGCGCTCTTGGCTGAAAGAATGGTGCATTTCAGGGATATAAAGCAGTCGCCCTTTCACCTCTTCCATGATATCATCCTAAAGCCGTTGTTCTGATTCCACATCATCAAGTTACTTCCTTCAATATCTTCTTCTGAATATCAAACCCTTTGAAACTATGCTCAACTCTTTGTTTATCGTCTCGTGCGCTCTGAACTTTTTGTATTCTACCAGAGCAGATACTGCTTCTTTGCGAGCCAAGTTCTCCAAGTTAGGAATCGACGCTGTCTTTCCAGGAGATTCAACTTATAACAAATTTGCTACACCTTATAACAAACGTCTGACTTATATTCCAGCTGCGATCGTCTTCCCGAACAGTACTAAAGCTGTCTCGGATTCAGTCAAAGTAGCTGTTGGAGAAAAGCTTCCAGGTGAGCTCATAATGTGATAAATGCTTAAAAACCGCTCCGTCTCGACTCAAAGGTTTCCCTTGCTCGCGTCTTGTAGTATCACCTCGCTCAGGTGGACATTCGTACGCCGCCTATGGTTTGGGTGGAACTAATGGCGCCTTAGTTGTCGATCTCTCCCGACTCAAGACCGTATCTGTCGATCAATCAACTGGTCAAGCTGTTATCGGAACTGGAAACAGATTAGGTGATGTTGCTATCGGATTGAATTCTCAAGGTGGGCGCGCACTTCCTCATGGGACGTGTCCGTATGTCGGTCTTGGAGGTCATGCGTCATTTGGAGGGTGAGTGGCCTGACAAAGAAAGTGAAAATGTAATATCCTCGAGCTGACTCTTTGCCCTCGCGTTGCTTGATTTCCAGCTATGGTTTCACGAGTCGGATGTGGGGCTTGACTTTGGACAATATCGTCAGTCAGGAGGTGGTACTCGCAAACGGTACAATTGTTCAGGCATCGCAAAACAGCAATCCAGATCTCTATTGGGTAAGTCGAATGCGGCTTTTCATGTTCCTTAATTCACTCAGTCTCACCGTTAGAAAACCAATGCTCAAATTTTTGTCCCATCGATAGGCTCTGAGAGGCGCAGGAGCCTCGTACGGTATCATGACATCAATGAAATTTCAAACTCATGCCGCTCCAAGTCAACCTACCAACTTTGACATTGAATGGGATTTTGATCAAAATGGCTTTGCAAACGCGCTAATTAAATTTCAAGTCTTTTGTCGGTCTAACGTACCAACTGAACTTGGAGTGGACGCCACTTTGGGACAAGGGAGCGAATCTGGACGCCTGAACTTTGCCCTGGTTGGAGCCTGGTATGGCGACAGCTCAAAGTTTCCGGCAGTCATTCAACCTTTTTTGGATACAATGGTAAGCTTATAGCCTGTATGAACATTCAGTCCTCTATTAACGCATATACCTTTGAAACCTTCAGCCAGCGCCGAGCCAGAGGAGCGTAAAGAAGAGCGACTGGCTCACCAGCTTGCAAGGTTTGGCTGACTCGCAAGCGCTTTCAACTTCGGGTAAGCCTTTTCTTCAACACCGCTTACTTAACTTCCGATTTGACGCCGTTTTTTCTTCCCCTACACAGGCGTGGACTTATCAGCAGAGCATGATACCTTCTATGCCAAGTCTTTGACAACTCCACAGTCGACACCAATGTCTAATTCTTCTATCAAAGCTTTCTCAAAGTATCTCTCGTCGGAAGGATGGAAAACAGATACGGTATTTACTAGATTTCTGTGTATGATTTCTCCTTAGTTTTGCTGATCAAGAATCATTTGCACTATGAAGAATTGGTTTGTCCAGTTTGAGCTCTATGGTGGTCAGAATTCAGCTATCTCTGCCGTAGCAAAGGATGCGACGGCATTTGCTCAACGTTCCATCTTGTGGACTATTCAAGTGAGCAATTTAGGAACTCATTCTAAATTGTTAACCGTCTAAATATCATCTTATTTTTGGTGCCTAGTTTTACACCTCATCTAGCAACTATGCGCCACCTTTCCCCAGTGCAGGATTGACATTCCTAGATCAAATGGTTTCGAGCATTGTAAACAACAATCCTTCTGGATGGGGTTACGGGTCAGCATTCTATTGCTACGGAAGCTGCATTCTTCAAAGAGAGTGAAACTTAGGTTTTCACCCATATCCCTGATTCTTTAGTGCCTATGCCAATTATGTCGACGATCGCTTAACTTCCGCTCAGTGGAAGAATCTCTACTACAACACACAGTTGAGTATTGAACGCTTCCGTGTTTTTAACCACACTTTCTGACATCTTGTAATTGTTGATATAGTTATCAACGATTGACGCAAATCAAGTCTGCCTACGACCCTCAAAACGTCTTCGCATATCCTCAAAGTATAACTGAGTAGGTTTTATGTTTTTTGATTATCTGAACTGTCTTGATCATTTAGCATTGATTTTATCCTCACATTTCAAAACTTCATTTAGGGCAAGCTCAACACGAAGAAACAAACGTTGGGTTTAAGATGAAGAGATAGATTTCTCTCATGTAACATAAAAATTTCATAGCATTTTCAAAGTCTTTGTTCGACTAGAAGCTTTTTTCTCATGTTCTCCATCACATCTGTAGTAGTTTCTCTCTATATTGGTTGCATTTTTTCTATTTTTTTCCACTTCTATATTTATTTTCCCTCTGATTTTGTTGTTGGAAGGAATATTTAATTCCGTTCCTGTGTTCTTCTAAATTATTTTTTTTCTCATTTAAAAAGACGTGTAATTTTAAAGACAATGATCAGACTTCGGGCTTAAGCATGGACTGATGTACGATTTTCGGGAAGCACATTACCTGATAATGATAATGATCAGACTTCATCTAAGGAATGGAATGATATATTATCGAAGAGAACCACAATATAAGGGATCACAGATTATGAGAAACAAAGTTATTGAGTCCAATTTGATCAGAGAACTAAATATACAGGATTTCTTCTGCTGAGTGCGATCAACATCGAAACATCTCATCTTTTCTATCAGATCTTTGATCATTTCCATGCTTCACATTTCTAAAGATTTCCTGCTCACAAAGAATTACAGGCCTCATTGTTCTTTTGAAAAAAAATTACCTGTTGCGACCTACTCTATCTGTCTGCTTTGAACCATGAGATCGTCTCGCCGTATAACCCAGGAGTAAAGGTGAAGCAGGGATTACATATGTATCATACATACCGACAGAGTTTCGAAGAACTTCAATATCAGTCTTTTGTTGATTAATTTGGGCCATTAATAGCCGTTATCCCGGTAAATCTCTCTGGAAACCCAGAAAGCGTCCAGCATACATAGTCACCAGAGCTGGAGAGCTCAGATTCTGATAGGGTCAGATGGTCAAACTTTACTCATCATATGTACAGCAGCCCCGCTCACCTTCACGATGAAGCCAAGACCATCTCCTTTGGCAGCCAGTGATCACCGTAAGGTCGCGGTAATGTGTAAAGTATCAAAAGCATAAACTGCCCAAACGACCTACCCTGTTAGCTGGAGAAGTGGTGCAAATCAGGCATACAAGGCCCTGGCCGTCGCCTTTTCACTTCTTGTGAGAAATCATTGTTGTAATCCCACCTCCTGAACTCACAACTTCCAAGACTTGACTTGTGGGATTCAACACTCCAAGATTATGCTTCACTCTTTGTTTACCGTCTCTTGCGCTTTGGGTGTCCTGTGCTCTGTTAGAGCAGACACTGCTTCTTTGCGAACAAAATTCTCCAAGTTAGGAATAGACGCTGTCTTTCCAGGAGATCCATCTTATAAAAAATTTGCTACACCTTTCAACAAACGCCTGACATATATGCCGGCTGCCGTTGTCTTCCCTAATAACACAAAAGCTGTGTCCGATTCCGTCAAAGCAGCTGTTGAAGCAAGAATTCCAGGTGAGCTCATATTGTGATGGATGTCTATGAACCAAAATTTCGGAGCTTAAATGGTTTTTTTGTTTGTTTCTCATAGTCTCGCCTCGCTCCGGTGGACATTCGTACGCTGCATATGGCTTGGGAGGGACTAATGGAGCCTTAGTTGTCGATCTCTCGCGAATTAATAAGGTCTCTGTCAATCAGTCAACAGGTCAAGCTGTTATTGGAACTGGAAATCGATTAGGTGATGTGGCTATCAGATTGCATTCTCAAGGTGGCCGCGCAATTCCCCATGGTACATGTCCGTACGTCGGTATTGGGGGCCACGCGGCATTCGGGGGGTAAGTCGACCGGTAAGCAAAGAGACCATGAAGCACATCGTGGCCTGACTATGTGTGCTTGCGTTCCTTGACTTTCAGTTTTGGTCCCACAAGTCGGATGTGGGGTTTGACTTCGGACAATATCATCAGCCAAGAAGTGGTGCTCGCAAACGGTACAATCGTTCAAGCATCGAAAAATGCCAATTCAGACCTCTTCTGGGTAAGTGACACGAGGCTCTACATCCTTCATCCGCCCCATCTGGATGATGATTGCTCAGACAGTGTGACACGCTGATAGGCCTTGAGAGGTGCAGGAGCCTCGTACGGTGTCGTGACATCAATGAAGTTTCAAACCTATGCCGCCCCTAGCCAACCTACCAAGTTTGACATCCAATGGGATTTCGATCCAAATGGCTTTGCAAACGCGTTAATCAAATTTCAAACCTTTTGTCGGTCTAACCTACCCGCTGAACTTGGAGTGGAGGCCGATTTAGGACGAGGGACCCAGTCTGGACGTTTGAATTTCGCTCTGTATGGGGTCTGGTATGGTGATAGCTCAAAGTTCCCGGCTGTCATTCAGCCCTTTTTGAATGTGATGGTAAGCTCACAACAACACAGGAGCATCTAGTTTTCCTACTGACACATGTACCCTTGAGAACGTTTAGCCAGCACCAAGCAAGAGGACTGTAAAGAAGAGCAATTGGCTTACCATCTTGCAAGGTCTAGCTGGTTCGCAAGCACTTTCAACTTCGGGTAAGCCTTTGCACAACTTAGAGTGACACATTGGATTTGATGAATTTGACGCTTTTCTTCCCCTACACAGGCGTGGACTTATCAGCGGAGCATGACACTTTCTATGCCAAGTCTTTGACAACTCCACAATCAGCCCCCATGTCAAATTCTTCTATCCAAGCTTTCTCGAAATACCTCTCGTCGGAAGGATGGAAAACAGATACAGTATGCAACGGTTTCTTCATATGACACATGCTTCTGTTTGCTAATCACAGCGCTCTACACTATAAAGAAATGGTTGGTCCAATTCATCCTTTACGGCGGTCAGAACTCTGCTATCACCGCCGTAGCAAAGTATGCGACGGCGTTTGCACAACGTTCCATATTGTGGACTATTCAAGTAAGCCATCTACCACTGTAAGGACTCATAAGACTTTGGCTGCCTGAAGATTTTAACAATGTTTCATGCGGCTATGTAGTTCTACGCCTCATCCAGAAACTACGCGCCACCGTTCCCAAGTGCAGGATTAACCTTCCTAGATCAAATGGTATCAAAAATTGTTAACAGCAACCCTTCTGGATGGGCATACGGGTCAGCAATCAGAATTTACCTCAGGGCTACATCCTCCAAGGAAACATGGAACTGAAATACTCACCCCTATATTTGACTCTTTAGCGCCTATGCCAATTACGTTGATGATCGGTTGTCTGCAACTCAGTGGAAGAATCTCTATTACAACACACAGTTGAGTATGAAGCATCTGCATGTGTTTGAACAAATTTTCTAAAGGTATTGTAATTATTGATATAGTTATCAGCGATTGACAAAAATCAAGTCTGCTTACGACCCTCAAAATGTGTTTGCGTATCCTCAAAGTATAACCAAGTAAGCTGGTGGATGTTTGTTTATTTGACCACCCTTGATTTGACTAAATCCACACTTCTCATAAATTCATTCAGAGCCAGCTCAATTCAAAGAAATAACAAGCGTTGGGTTTAACCTGAGGGAAGGGACTTCTTCCAAGTATAAAATTTTGTAGCATTTTCAAAGCCCTTGTTTGACTAGTAGCATTTTTCTCTTGGTCTGTATTGTACCCGTGCTGGTTTCTCTGTAGAGTAGCATCTTTTCCCTTCTATATATCTGTATACTGTAGGTTTGATGCTGAAAAACTTTCAGTATCAGTACTGCATGATGCAGTACTTTTGTTGTTTGCAAATATGTCTGATTTTGAGTGCATATAAGACGCACAAAATTCCTTCTTATGTAACATACATGTTCTATCAATGTTTATTCCCCAGTAGGGTATTTCACTTATATGTTGTCAAAAACAACAAATTTCAAGCTGAGAAAAATACACAAGAGAAAGCATGGAAGGGCAAACATGCCAAAGAGAAGCCAAACAAGGTGATATGAAAATCAGATAAAAATATAAGTGACTTAGCAACTACTAAACCAATTATACTATAGGGGGTCCACATCATTCATTCAAAATCCATAATTATTTGTCTATCAAATCTGTGATCGCCCTATAATAAATCACAAACACAAGTGAAAAAACAAGTGCTACCATGTAGGTGCTCCATTCTGATGCCTACATACCCAGAAAGGATGTAGGTGTTTTTTTCTGGTGCCTACATTTTCAAATCCATGTGTTTGAGAAAATAGGCGCCTACCTCCAGCTTTGCATAGGTAGGTGCTAGAAATAAAGCAGTCACATCCAATTTTGGTCATGATGCAGCACCTACAACTCAAGACTGGTCTTTTACAACGTTTGATAATACCTTTTCACCTACCACAAGAGCAATTCTCAAGTTGCAAGTAGAATAGTGGTGGACGGAAAAATCATTCTGAGTTGCAATTTGGACATAATGTGGCTTTTGCTACCACATCTATGAGTGGGATCAAGGTTGCCCCACACCACAAAACCATCAAGAATCATTTACAATTGCCACTCACGAATTCAAATGATCATCAAACAAGACTTTGGTGTCTGAAAGATTAGATTTGTAATTCTAGTCCTGATGCACAGATTCCCTATACTTTGGCAAGAAAACATTGTTGTGGCACTTGCTGTGCTTCACAACCTCATCATGTAGGGTGGTGAGGATCAGTCTTTCAAAGAATTCAATGAATAACAACATGAGTAAAATTGAGCATGGGTCTGTAAAGCTCATAACAAATTTGTGCCTGTGGTAAGAAATGACCAAGGTACTGCAAATGATTTTAGAGATGATGTTGCAATAAGGATGTGAACTCATTATCAATCTCACAGAAATCATCATTGATTCAATATTGTAAGCAGACTCTTCTTGATTCTCTCAAATTCAATATATTGCTGACTAACCCAAAGCCTGCGACGGTATGGTAGAGTCCATTACATAACGTAAGGGGACGGGCAAATGAGCGGGACAGCTGATGGTCCCGGGGCCGGGGCCGAGATGGGAGAGGAATTACTCTGAAACGGCAGAAGGAAAATTTTCATTCCTTCTTCCGATCCAGTTTCTTCTTCCTCTCCTGTCTTCACCTGCTCTTCTTGCCTCTTGCTAGTCATTTTCTCATTCTCAAGACTCATAGGAAATTTTCGAATTTCTATCTCTTATATATAACTCAATCCCATATCCTGGCTATATCATCTCGCAGTTTTCTCTTTTATTAAATGGATCCGTCTCAAAAGGATAAACTTATCTCGTCCAAGAATAAATTGCATCAGATGCATTTAGAAGCTGAAGAAAAGAAGAAGATGCAAGCAGAGAAGGACCGTATTCAAGCTGAGGACAGGGCCAGACATGCTGAGTCCAGGGCTCCTCCTCTCTCTCAAATACTTCCGGGTGGCACGTTGGTGGATGAGGCCAACAACGCTGACAATGAAGGCGATCCAATCGACCCAACTGGCACGACGGGGGGTTCTGGAATCGCCAATGGTGAAGAAGGTGATGACGAGTCATCTGAAGGGGAAGAAAATGGAAATTTCAAGTTAGCTCTGAAGAAGAAGATTCAATTGAGACAAGACAACTCCCTTGTCCCCTCTCTTGGAAAGAACATACAGATTAAGGGTAAGTTATTCCTTTCCCTTTTATCGGCCTTTAGACTTCAAGTCTAATCCACGACTTCGGTCTGGAGAGGCCTCTGGCTGCCGATGGCGCCGGTGCTGGAGTCATGCGTGACCCAGAAGAGATGCTGCCTTGAGCGCTCTCATTGGGGTACCAGGGAGACGCTGCCATTGGCGCTCTTCGACTTGCTGTTATCTCTGTTAACTTCAAGACTGGCCCAATAAGTTCCGCAATCAACGCGCGATCCTCTAATGCGTAATCTCTGAGCAGAATAAGCAAAGGGGGGGCTGCTATCAGCGCCGAGAATAGTCCACGATCCTATAGAATTATCAGTTACTTACTAACTGTGTTTTCTGGTTGATTGATTCAGTTCCTTCATCGAGAGACAAAGAACCCCAACAGGGTGTTTCAATCATGGACGAACTCAACCATGCGGTCAAATTCGGGACACTAGAGGAAGCTAAAGCCGCTCTAGAGAAGGTCAATGCGTGCGTGCTGCGTGCGACGTGCGACTCACTGGGATCCCCCGAGAGCACATACCGCAATCGCCGTTGGAGCCCAAGCCATGCCTCCACCTAAGTGGCGCGAGCACCTGCTCAAGCGCCGGCGGGTGAATCCTCGGTATCTGGTTCGAAGCGGAAGTCCTCGAAGAATAGCGAGGACCCCTCCTCGTCGTCGGGTTCTTCCGGTGTTGAGAAGCCTGAGAAAAAGCCGAAGAAGAAGAAGATGTCGAAGAAACCTTCGGATCCGGATGACAGTGACTCTACCCCGTCTGAATCTTCTTCCTCTGACGACTCCTCGGCGATCAGTGCGGCAGAACTCGTATGCAAAGCTGGGGATTTCACTTTGGCAGATCTTCCTGACTTGCCCACCAGGTGGGACAAGGGCTTTAGGAAGCTCCGTGCTTACGTTCCTTTGACAGTCTTCGTGAAATCGTCCATCGAGGACTGGCACGACCTAGATGAAGATGAGAAAAAGAAGGCTAAGTCTTTGGCAGCCAAATCTACCGAGAAGGCCAGAGAGAAACAAATCACTTACGGTGAATTCATCGAAATGTGTGATCTCGAAGAACGCTATGCACGAGAAATCTATGGTCTTAAAGATTACGCCAAATATGTCGAGTCTCATAAGTTAATTGTTTCCAACTTGAAGAAGAAGCACAACTGCTGGATGGTCGCTCTCCGATACCACTTGGCAATTCGCACTGTCATTTTTAGACGCCGCAAGTTGATCGAAACCAAGGTCGACGGCAAGACGGTGATGACAGATAAGATGCGTGTTCCCAACGGTCTTCAGGCCTCGGTAGAGGAGTCAGCTAGACGTGACGCAGAACGAGCGAATGACCTCGGCTTCATTGACAACCCCTATGCGCCAGGGAAGCCTAAATTTGGCTTCAACTTCACGACTGGTAGGGAACAGGTTGAAGACTTGGTTAGCGGCAAGTCGGAAGAAACTTCTTCGATTGTTACTGGATCCTCGACCCAGAGGGGAAAAAGGGGAGGTAACGGAAAGAAACCGTTCGTGAAAAGGGGAAACTTCTCCCAGAACAAAGGTGCCAAGATTCAGGGCAATCAGGGCGAAGGTTTGCATTCGCTAGCTTATCTCATGATAAATGCGGGAGCAGTTTTCACTTACTTGTGTCTTATTTCCTATTCATGCACGTTTTTAGAAACTCAAGGTGCTGAAGGCTCCGGAACCAATGGTGGCTTTGTGAAGAGGAACAACTACTACAAGAAAAACGGTGGTACTGGTGCGCAGAAGTCGCAAGGTGCAGACACCGCAGACAAGTGAGTACCCTCTGCTTGAAGTCCAGAAATGACCCTCATTTACTGACCATCGGAAACTCCTTCGTGTCTAATTCCTTGATTGGTGCTGTTCGCGCTAATTCTTGAACGTGACTGCCATCTTCTTCCATCTGGTTGTGTGCGAATTTTAACTTGTGGTACGCATTAGAGCATGATTGTCCCTGTTTTGTTTAGAAAACAAACCTAATACATATATTCTCTTTGAAATATAAACATCCCTACTCTTGCTAGACAGTATCAGAGTTCCTGTCCCGAGCCTGCCGATAGCGTCACGTGAGAATGGAGCCTCTTTTAAACGACCTGATGATGTGATAATCGAGTCGGGTGATTCCGAGATGGAACAGTCGTCCTCCTCGTCCTCAGAGAGTGAATCCAATGATGAAGTCTCGAGTGAAGAAAGTGTCACAGATGAACCTCTACCTTTATGGGAGAGGGAAATCTTCACGATCCCGGTGGAAAACCCTCCTTGGCCTGCTCCGGTTCCTAGTAGAATGAAAATCGAGGAGTGGGAAGAGCTGATGCGTGAGGCGGGCCTGGACAAATGCATTCCCTATATCAGTAACGGTTTCAGGAACGGATTCTGCTTGGGCATTCCACAACATACTATCCAAGACTTACCGTGGTACAATCCTGAAAATCACAAGTCGGCTCTTGCAGCCAAATCCCAGATCGAGCGGACTCTAGCTAAGGAACTGCAAGCTGGTCGGATAGTGGTTCCATTCACTCATGAAGAGTTGCGGGAAAAATTTGGATTCTTTCGCTCGAACCCCATGGGGAGCGCGGTTAACGGGGATGGCTCTGTGCGGTTGATTAATGACCTGTCCTTCCCGAAAAGAGATCCAAACGTTCCGTCAGTTAATTCCTTTGTTAATAAGCACAACTATGGCACGCAGTGGGACGACTTCAGCCGTGTCGCAAGATTCTTCAGACATCACCCGGGGATATGGTTGGTCGCCATCTTTGACTGGCAAAAAGCTTATAGACAGCTTTCCGTTCATCCCTGCCAACGTCGCTTCCTGATCATCATGGATTTCCAAGGAAGACTATGGGTCGACCTTGCAGTAGGGTTTGGTGGAGTCGCGAGTTGCGGAGTTTTTGGGGCGCCGGCGCACGTCTGGAAGATCATAATGGAGAAGATTAGCGGTGTGACTAAGATCTTTCGATGGGTTGACGACAACCTACTCTTCAAGCGTCCAGAAAACCCAGTCTCGCTGGAGACGGTCGAGACTCTGAGTAACAGCATGGGGGTTCAGTATAACCCAATAAAGAATCATGAATTTGCCGACAAGCAACGGTTCTTAGGTTTTATATGGAATGGAAGAGACCACACGGTTAGATTACCGGATGAGAAACTCCAGGAAAGAAGACAGCAAATTAAAGACTTACTCAGCCCAGGCCCTTGCTCCTTTAAAACCATCGAACAAGTTACGGGTCGTCTTATCCACACCACGAACATTGTCCCGCATATGAAACCATATGTCAGTTCTCTCTATCGGATGATGAAGGCCTGGAAGAACACGGCAGCTCTTCGCCAGCTATCGGAGAGCGCTAGGAAGGATCTCCAAGAGTGGGATCTATGCCTTGGTACCTTTAATTCTCGCCCGCTGATACCGGAATTGAAAGCTCTGGAAATAAACTGGGCTGGGGATGCTTCTTCGTCCTTTGGAATAGGAGTACTGGTGGGTGAACACTGGGCGTCCTTTCGATTTGTAGACGGTTGGCAGACCAAAGGCCTGCTGGAGGGTAAGCGCTCCATTGCCTGGGCGGAAACCGCTGCTATCAGGCTAGGCATGCTAGTAGTATGCAATCTACGCAAGGTTGAAGGCCAAAGGTTCGTTGTCTGGACAGATAACACGACATCACAGTCAACCGTTAATAAGAGGAAATCCAAAGACGTTTGCGTCAACAAAGAATGGAAAGAGATACAAAGGTTACTCACGGCTCTAGGATGTAACATAAAGGCGAAACGGGTCGCATCTAAGGCCAATCCGGCAGATGCTTTATCCAGGGGAATTCTGGGCTCACTTGCGTGGAGCCACGAAGTCCGAGTGGAGATCCCGAAAGACCTGTCCCCCTTGATGTTCCAAGTCACGTTAGAGCGAACTCCTCCAAATCCTTGAGAACAGTTGTACCCTAGAAATCTCTTCATCTCCTTACCTCATCTCGATTCATCAATTCCCCTTTACAATGGGGAAGCGGAAGTCCAACCAGATCGGAGAACTCCCAAACTTACGCAGAGTCCTAAAGCCCTTCGGAGCATTCAGGAAGGACGCACTTGGAGTGGACGAATCCGAATCGGATGAAGTAAAGAAGCACTTTCTGCGAGGTGCCTGGAGCGACGGAACTCTGAAAAGTTACAACTCCGGAATCATCAAACTACACCGTTTCGCGACAGTCAAGGGCATAGACAAGGCTCACCTACTCCCGATCTCGTTCTCCTTAATGAGAGAGTAATTGAGACAAAGACGCGTGGTTGTGTTATGCGCTTATGGTTTTTCTTTTTGCTTACATCATTAAACTAGAATGACGTCATGATTTGAGTTCTTATAAAGGGTCATCACTTTCATACAATTGTAAATCCCTTTTTCTTCATCGAACTCAAATCTTTTTCTCTTAAACAATCTTCATTTATCAGATTGTTTAATCTCATTCGATCAGTGTGTTAGCTTTTATAACAAAGCTAATAACCTGTCATTCACAGGTGTAAGTCTATTTGTTTTAGTAGTTGTTGTTGTTGTGGAAAAGTAATCAAACTCAAATCTTTTTCTCTTAAACAATCTTCATTTATCAGATTGTTTAATCTCATTCGATAAGTGTGTTAGCTTTTATAACAAAGCTAATAACCTGTCATTCACAGGTATTGTTTAATCTCATTCGATCAGTGTGTTAGCTTTTATAACAAAGCTAATAACCTGTCATTCACAGGTATCTCATTCAATTGGTTATGAGCCCAGCTCAACTAGCTGTATAATCACATCGCACCACATAAACTCAAAATTTTTTTTTTGGCTATCGCACACGATCGATCGATTCATGTTCTTTCAACACACTCACACATCGTCACTCTTAACTCTATTCTTCATTTTCACTGTTTCTTTCATCATCATGTCATCTTCCGAAACTCGACTTCGAATTGTGAAACTTGATGATGATAATTACCCTGAATGGAAGGGTGACATCACCGGAGCACTCATGTCGGCTACCTTAGACGAGTTCATTGACTCTGACGCCACCCCTGTTCCGGAACCACAAGAACGACCTGTGCCTCGTGAACAGAAAGTTCTCTATGAAGCCTACGTTATACGACAACGCAAAGCAGCGGGAATCATGTACTCTCATATGAGTCAACAATACCAAATCATGGTCGAATCCGAAGGTCTTATCAGTAAACCTTTAGACATCTGGCTCCTTATGAAGGAAAAATTTCAGTCGACCACTTCCAGCAGTAAAGGCAGAGCCTACGCATCATTTTTCCGCATCAATTATCAATCATTATCTCAATATTTGAAGGACTGTAGATCCTCTCTAGCTCTCTTACACGCCGTTGGAGTCAACTTCACTGATGACATTCACGAAATCTTTGGTGAAACCATCGTCGCCAAACTCACCTGTATGTACTTAACCTTACCGAACCTATTGGAAGATACAGCAGTGCGTATCAACCAATAGACTCCGTACAGCGTCTATTAGAAATCCCTAGCTAGATAAGTATATCTATTGGCCTATTCGAAAATTGCTAAGTCCCCTAATCATCAAGTGCAACATATAGATATTTCACCACCATTACAATACTCTCACCACCACAACATCTAATCTTACCACCCACCACACCATCCTACCACCTCAACAGAAGTCGCACCCCTCGAGACAAAATTTCACCACCTCAGGTAAAATCTTACGACTCCAATTGGAAATCACCAGCCTTAAGTGAAATATTACCACCCAGGATAAAATTTCACCACTCAAGATAAAATGTTACGACTTGGAAAACAAATGACCATCCTGAAGTGAAACCTCACCAACTCAAAAAAATCACAATACGTTATTCAAAACTCGCATTCACCACCACAGAAACTTACGACTTCATTTGAGATTCACCATCTCAAACTAAGCTCTTACCACCTCCTTACCTCACAAGTGTCACATACTCCAGCTACATTCAACAGTCACTCGTCAAGGATTCCTCTCTCCAAACCATTCACCATATACCTAACCACCTATTCAGTTCATCACAATTCCAATGCGTCCTGGACTACGAAGTAACGAGAATGCCACCGGACTATTCCGACCAGACTCCTTATACAGTCTTAGCCTCGATTCACAAGACCACGACGGGAACGAAGAGGCCAGTACCCCCCTCGAGGACAAAACCGCCGTGCTAGACGTGGTGGACACACTGGCTCTCAAGGTGCACGCCCAAAGCGCCGTCGAACAACTCATCCAACAGAATCTACCCCACCTATTCCCACCAACCAAGAACTACCTGACGACAATGATTCGCTACTCGACGAAGCTGACGATACACGCCCCACTTTAGAAAATTTCCATGACCTCGGTGTTCGATGGGGACTGGCACGTGCAGAGCAATACCTCGCTGAGCTTACCATACCCAAGAACAACAGACCATCCGCAATCGGGATCTTCGAAGCTCAAGCGCTCCAAGCTTCTTATAACCTAGACAAAACTATGCTGTGTCTAGTTCTCAAATGTAGTCGACAAACGCTCGACGAGGCATTGTAAGTCTACTTTATCAAATACCAATCCCCCATCCTGACTCTCATCTTCATTATCCATCTCATTTGTGTGAATACCTCTAGACTTGAAGGGCCCCTGGCTCGCGAACCCAACATGTATACTAACTATCAAACATACAGTGTTGTAGCTACCACCACCAAGAGTACGTCAAATGCCAAATGAAAAATTGATGTTTGTAACGTTTTGCTGAATTTAACTCCATCTCTCTACCTGTAGTGCCACCAAAAGGTGTTTCGGAAGGATTTGAAGAACGAAATGTTACGGTCGGCAAAACCTGGAGTTCTTACACCAAGGAGGAACAAGACATATTCAGCCCACGCCTCTTTGAACCCCTTTGCATCGCCACCAGCGAGGCTTACGCACTCACCCAAACCCCACTCGGTATTCCCAACTCTCTACCCGATCACGATGGAACCAAACCCGAACACAAGTCCCACGTTGAAGCTCTCGGCGTCGAAGAGGTGACACTTTATCGGCCTATATTCGAGCGCCTTGTCAATCTTAAGAAAGTCTCTGGTGACTTGCATGAAGGCCGCCTATGGAGGCACAGCAGCAAATCTCGCAGTAGGACCCGCGAGCAGCTATTGAAGCTTGAGATCAGTAAGGTAGTTCGCCAGGTGAGTACTTATCATGAAATATATCATGTCCATAGGATAACTGACATTTGTACCATTTGCTACCCCCACCGCACAGCTTCATGTCTTAAAAATTCAACTAAACCTCCAATTCCACCTTCTACTCGCCAGCTGGAACCCTGACTCGCCAACTACCCGTGCCCTATTTCAGGACGAGCACTCATCCTGTGACCGCTGGGTTCGAGGCCAGAAGAAGAAACATCTTCTGGAGTGTTTCTCTTTCGATTCGACTAGGGCTCCCGAACACCTCCGCCCCACACGTGACCAACCCAAACCCTTATCGGAATCTGCAGCGCGCCAAGCTGCCAAAAGGAGTGAGCTCACTCGAGCCCTCAACAACTTGATAGGTAATTCTGGACAAACCTGTGTCTTTCTGTGTACATCAAACTGACAACACAGTGTGTCCTTTGTAGAGCCCTTTCTTCGCGGAGGTTCCATAGGCCAGGGTGACGCACACCCCAAAGGTTCCGATCTGAAACAAGCCTTCGAGAAGAAGACATTCCGCGGAGAAGTCAAGCTCACTTTCCATCGCACTCCTGACAGATTGGTCACTGACGACATGCTCTCCAAAGGACCTACCAAGCTAACAAATGACGAAGTCCAGCATTGGCTTGATGACATCGAGTTTAAGAGGTACACACTCATGAAGGTCCCTGGAACAAAAGCATCTGGCAAGCATAAGCGGGCCAAACGGGATGATCAGCTCACCGCAGCAGAACGAGCACTCGATGACTCTCTTTTGAATGAAGACACTCGAGTTTTAGACCCTCAAGTTTTGATTTTGAATGAAGACTCTCGAGTTAATGAAGACTCTCAAGTTTCAAATGAAGACTCTTACGTTTTGAATGAAGACACCCAAGTTTTGAATCAACTGCTATTGGGCCACACCTAGCACATGCTATGCTAAACCGTGATCTCTCATTATCCTTCTATGCTACAATACGCTCTAATAATCTTCACAGCCTTTGTATTCTACAATTATGGGGTCTTCCATGTCCACAAAGGTTATTCATTGAGTATGTAGTTATGTTACTCGATATAGCTCTTAAATCCTTTGCTTTTTTTACGCCTGCACCTACCACATGATACAATACCAATTGCGCGAAAATGTCACACACTACATAAGTTAATCACGCCCCTAAGTCCGTCAAATAGTGCTCCTTGAGTGGTTCTTGGGACGAGCACTAATTGACTAAGTTCGTAGGACCTGTATCACACCAAGCCCAATGCAACCAAGGTGCAGCGAGGTTTGCCACAATGATATGCTTGTAGCACTGACTTGCTTGTACCATAGACATGCTTGTATCATATCAAATGGTAGTAGCATATCTCTGTTCTGTATGTTTATACTCTTAAGTAATTATGTCCATAGGTCAACAAAGTGCCACGTGTCCCTGTATTCCCGAGGACCGCGTCGTCGCAATTTGGATTCAATACAAATAGATTTTTCACCACCCCCCGCTTTCAGCCGCTCCCCTCACTTTGCAAATAACGACCGATTCATTTTGTCAGAGGTATGTCACAACTATGTATATCTCATATCATTCGATTTCTCATATAACCGCGCTGACATGTGTCTGTGTTTTCAGACCGTAGCCTATGAACACGGAACGTAATCATCAAACAAAAGTACAATAACAAATTCATTTCACGATATCGAATCTTTTCTTTCTTCCCACTGTATTCATGAACTTGTTCAGGTCTATTTACGCACATAGTTCCAAAATACAACTTTCCTTCAATCTTCTCACCCTTCCATTTGAACCGATTTTCTCATCCCCCTACTTGCGTCCCTTTTTGAAGGCGAACAACGACCAAACTACTTTGTCTGAGGTGTGACATCTTTACCTCCATACGCATCTCATATCACTGATCTAACTGTGTTTCTTAACTTTCCAGACTTTAGCTCAAACGCTTTGATAATTAAATCATAATAACGCATCAACCAAAGGTACGATTATCAAAATCAGTAACCCATTTCATTTCAATATTTCTGTTGCTTTCATCAATCACCTATCTTGCTCAAAAGCGCTATGTTGATACAATGAGGTGAGAACATCCTTGGAGATAACTGGATTTGGTTTCCTAATGTGGGACGTTACAAAACCGTAGTCTCTGATGTGTTCTCACCTCATTGTATTTGCACAGCAGCCCATGAGACAGGATATTGAACCACTTGACCTTCCAGTATACTCCATACTGGTGACGTTCCAGTATACTTACAAGCTCGCATGATTTTTCTTTCACAGATGACCAAAGGAAAGCCGAAGAAAAACAGATCGGCCAGCAGTCAAAAGTATTCCAAGATGAAAAAGAACCAACGCAATCGATACAAACCCAACTATTACCCGATCAATCATGCGAATAGGAAGGAAGAGCGAGAGACCGATTATGAGGAGCTTCGACAAATTATATCTGAAGAGTTCGGTGTACCAACCGACTGCCGTCTCTACTTCCTCAAGAAACATGATATTAAGAACTTACCCGACCGTCCTCGCATTCGAATCACCTTTGGCAATTCAGTCATACTTGATGCTGATACTTGGGAGGTGATACAAGTCATTCGCTTCCATCCTTTTGCGGACATGCCAACCGAAAAGCTTGATGAGTTCAACTTTACGGTCCAAAATATATACAACCACACGCTCGCTCGATCAGAGGTTTTGATTTGCGGTTCTGTCAAGGGCATCGAGGACTGGGGTGAGATGCGTTCAGCAGGTTTTCGAGCAGGCTTCGATAAAGGTAGAACCTTTGGTGAGTAGGGTTGTCCTCTTGGTTCCACTTTGAATTGCTCGGTTCAGTTACTAAATTCGCTTGAGATGACAGGTGTCACAGCGTTTTCTGCTACCACTGGTCGGAATGAACATGCGATCTTCGAGGACCAGGATCGAATGCTCGAAATGGCATCTATCAACGAAATCCTGGCGGAGTCCATGGCGGACCTCTGCCTGCATGCTTACCAGTCCAACCGGGCTTTGGCGATTAAATACTCCGTACCCTCCTTTGCCGATCCTACATGGGCGGAATCACCGAATGCCAACGTGGTGGGGTCCAGCATCGTATGCACACGCGATGGATTCAACAACAACCCGCATCGTGATCATGATGCGAGTGCCTACGCCTACGGTCTCTTCGCCCGCATTAACCGTCTGACTGGGGAGCTTCATTGGGTATCTAAGTCCGATTATCTAGGTGATGTTGAGGGGTGTCGATTCATTATCGACGAGTATCATGTCGAGGTTTTATTAGACGCCTGTGATGGGGTTGTTGAAACCATCTGGGCATTGGGTGAGTTACATCATACCTCTGCTTCAACAACATACGATGAAGGATGGATGCCCATCCACCCTAGAGACTCTCCAATTACTAGATTTGGGTGTTCCTTACAAATCAACAAGTCACTAGTCGGCAGAATTGATACTTTGTTGAAATTAAAAGAAGGTAAATCTGATGCTGAATGGCAAGAATTCAAAAAAAAAGTCGTCAAGTGTTATGAACAAGAGGTGGATGTAAAACTCGATAAAATTCATAATCCCTCTCAACATTACAAAAGCAAGAGTGCTAAAAGATGAGCGATTCGTAGATTCTCGTTGTTTTCCATATCAATAAAGTTCAAGTGTCTGTTTGATCAAATTGTCTTCAATTCTCCGTCCAGTTGTGTGATAATTCTTTTTGTATGTTTCCTAACCTTATGATAGGAAAGCACACATGTCAGAAACGTAAACCATCGATAGGAAAGCACACATGTCAGAAACGTAAACCATCAGTCGCATCTAAGCCACAATGAAAGTACAAGGAAGTGAGGTTGTTTTGCACATTCGTCTTTCATAGATAATAGTAGATAGAAGAAAATGAAACAATTCTATTAACCACTTATCACTGTGTTTTATGTGATTCAAAGTCGGTGTTCGTTCTAAATTGGCATTGTTCTATATATTTGATAAAGTGGTCAAACATTTTATTACAAACATTGTAATAAAAGAAATTACTCCAATGAAGTATTGAAGTGCTTTTCAATGTGATTTGAAAAGCACTAAAACGTTTTACCAATGTGTTCAATGTTGTGTTTAAGATAGCATTTAATTTTGAAACTACTTCAATGAAGTATCTAAGTTCTTTTTACTGTGTTAAACCATTTGTCACATTAATTGTTATATTTAATATACTTTCTTCAAAAGAAATGATAATGTGGTCAAACATTTTATTACAAACATTGTAATAAAATGACTCCAATAAAGTATTGAAGTTCTTTTTAATGTGATAAAACGTTTTACAAATGTGTTCAATGTTGTGTTTAATATAACATTTAATTTCGAAAGCACCTCAATGAAGTATCTAAGCTCTTTTTAATGTGTTAAAACATTTTACACATTAATTGTTTAATGTGTTAAAACATTTTACACATTAATTGTTATGTTTAATATACTTACTTTCTTACAAAAGTACTTCAATGAAGTATCTAAGTAATAATGTGATCAGATATTGTTTGAATCTGTTTGATTTGTGACAACATGCTTATATAGTTTGGAGTTATGAGATAAATTTGACTTTGAAAAGAAAATTAACAAGATGGTATTGATTCTCAACTAGCCAGGCAGAATCATAACACGGCACGAAAGAACTTTGAACTCCGTCTGACAATAAGACGTCTCCTTCATAAGTCACATATTAACAAGTAAGTCTGTCTATCATTTATCAGGTGTCTAACAATAAGAAATCATACGGCCAAACAGCTAAGAGGTAAGACCAGACCAATAATTTAACAATGTGAAATCATAAGGGCACACGGGTCAAACATTATAATTTGATTTCATGTTCTCTAAAGATTTATATTGATCTTTTTTCGATCTTGTCCAATGCGGTTTCATTTTCTAGTTGGATTTGTTCATAATAGGAAGAATCATAGATGTCAGAGCAAAGCATCTAAATGGAGGATATCATTGAAACATATCACACATACAAATGTGTGAATCATCAAGATTTGGACACGATTCAATGAATGTTAAACCCTGGAATGAAAATTGCATGCCATATATCGTGCCTTATATCGTGTTTGTGGGTGAAATTTCTCTTGGTGTTCCAAACGTCGCTGGAACATTGCAATGGCCCTTTCAGAGTTTCGCAGGTCTCGCGCTTGTTGGACGAGTAGTTGGCGCTGTCGAGGGGTGACCGCCCGTGGTAGTGGCCGTCGACAGGCAAAACCCAAAATTATTCGATGTGACACCATGATGATCGAGTTGAATATGCTTAAGGAGATGACCATCAACTTCATGATAGTCAGTCAAATCATCAATTGAGACTCAATGAAGTTACCTAAACACTCACTAAAATACTGATTCGTTGATCAAAAAAAACCCAGCAAGGAAGATGAACGCAAAGGACACAAGACTACTATGTCATCAAAAGATGATGATATTTTGGACGAAAGATGATATGAGAGGGTTGTCACGTTGCCAATGACTCACTGGCGGCTATATGATAAGAATGAGAGTTTTTAATGTAACCAAGCAGCTATGCTTAGTTGATGACGATCAACAAGTCAAACATGCGAGGGGCCACACGCTGGATATATATATAGATCCTCCTTCATGTTCTTGAGTGCGTGTGGGTATTCTTGAGTGGGTAAGATTTGTACATCTTTGCATTCGAAAACTCTAAATATGAAAGATATATATATTATCCTGGGTCATGTTCATATAAAAAGATGGATCATCTTTTCTTTCAATTAGACTGAATTGAATATATTCATCCGATTTGGACTTCTTTCCTTGCAAAAACACTGAATATGCATGTCGATGTTGAATGTGCGGCAAAGAAGCGGACATTCAACATCGCGATACAAAATTTTTTCCTTCCTAACTGATATTGTTCAAATCAATTGGCATGATGAGCATTCAATGCGGATGCAATCAACACATTCCCAACAGTCAGCAAGCACATCAAACTCAGCATCAATGTTTTGACCCTTGCATCAATTACATCAATAATTCGAATGAGTAAATTTAAGATCCAATATTCGTCGTAGTAGCGGACTCATCACTACAATCTCCAACTGCAGACATTGTTAAGTTTGGTTACTATTCCATTTCGATTACAATCAATATAAATATATTGATAAGCTTTGTACATTTTTCTTTGCAATCCTTTTCAATCACTCATAATATGAATGTTAAGTGTGCGGCCATGCAGCGGATATTTGACATTATGTTATGTGTCTTCCTAACTGATGTTGAGGATTTCACACCGGTGGGATTTCAATGGATTTCAATTGGCATGATCTGCCTTCATTTGTTTGGAAACATGGTTGAAACATGGTTCTATTGCCCAACAAACTCAGCATTCTCAAACATCATAGCCACACCTCAGCATTCCACGTAAGTAAAGTATATAAATAGCAATAGAATATATAGAAAAAATATTCATGAGAGAAGTACATTCGTGAAACGTGGGTAACAACACGACCCTTACTAGTAGACCCTTACTACTTCAGACTGTGATTGTTTATTTTGTCACATATGAAGTGTCACGGCTAACAGGCCAATCTTCCAGCTCAGATTGAAGCCATCCTGAAGAGCCATCTATGCGTTGACCCACATCAACAGTCAAACATATTAATTAATCTGTAGATACCTTTTTCATTCATCTATGCAACATTCAAAAGCTTTGAGTCTGATGACTCAAAGCTTTCAAGATTGGCTTTTTTGCTTCTGAAGAATGATGACTTGCGAAGTCATATGTGCTCAACAGAAGTGGCATCGGGCCTTTCTCCCACCGGGGCCGCGCCCTGGATCAATTCCAATCATGGGTTCAGTCATGATCCTCTTCATCTATATCTTATTTGATCATATATATACACTGTTATTCCAACATCTTTTTATATCTAACCATCTATGGTTTCACACCGTGTGATTTTCGGATTGACTACTCGACGACGACAACCCCGAGCAGTCACCCCTCGCCAACTTGAATTCATCAGACAACAAGCACGAGATCTACGAAACTCTGAAAGGGCCATTGCGAATTTGCAACAACGTCTGGCCACACGTGAAAGATTTCACCCTCCAACCCCTGGGTTGGATCCTAGGGAATTGCCGCTTCATCTTCCCAACCCTGCCGGCTTCGATGACCCACCAGAAGCCGAACCAAATGAAAATCCTGCGAATTATGTTATCAATCCTATTCAATTCATGCCACCTATTCCTAATCAAACCGTTGACCCAGTCCTGGCAGCTTTGCGAAAAGAACAACGTCTCGGTGAACGACTGGTCCACGAGACTAGGTGGGCTTGGCAATATGCGATCATGTTGCCTACTTTTCTCCGGTGTCGATTAGCCACTTCGAATTGGGGGAATTGTGAGCTTTGGAACCATGACTTTAGGAACCCTTGCAATTGCAAGGGTCGGACGGAGAGAGATGTGGACTTGGTTGACTTACTGTGTAAGTTGAAAAATTCATGACACTGCAAATAACTTCAATCACATTATTTGAAGTTTGTTCGCTAAACCTATCCATTTCCTATTCCTAATTCCAGACAGAAGACGAGTCAAGATCAGTTTTTGCAAAACGTGTGACCCGTCGGACTTGGTGCGACTGTTGTTAATGGGCTACATCGGCGCCTCACCGAAGTGTCCAGAAACAGCTTTTTCCGTCCGACTCATGGTCCATCATCATAAGATGTGGCTACGATGCGCCGTACCGACTAAAGGTTTTTGTGAGGGTCTTGATGACAATCTTGACTCTCACAACCCCTTGATACTCACCGCGAAAAGTATGCTAGTTAGTCATCATCAAGTATACCGTCTTCATTCATCATGGTATCCCTTGAACTGACCGGTTTTGTAGCCTCGAGACTGGCGCGAACCTTTCACAGCTGCGATTGACGCGTATCGTGCTATCCTTCTCCAGATAAGGACTCTCGAGAACCAAAAGTTGGCACTATCTGACCTGGGCATACTTGCGAACAACTGCCCAAAGTGCTTTGGCCCACCAGTTGGTGTTACAAGAGCTGAAGAACCCGACTTAGTGATCTGCATCGACGGCAATTTTCAGCATCGGCGACACGCTGCAGCGAGCGTGGAGATCCCGGGCGCACAACCACCTCGACCTAGTATGTTCTTGGACCCGGCGGCAGTTGACGACATGGCCTGTAAGATCAATCGGACGAAACCAAAAGCCGGCATAGAGGTGAGGTCCTCTGTTTTACTATTATTGATCATGTGATCGCATCGGTGGCTAACAACATGAGACATCGAGATTAGCACCAGTGTACGGAGGCTCATACCACTGCCAATGATGCCAGGGGTAAAAGTTATTTTCAAGCAATGGACGATTCCGGACTGATTGGAATGGCATGTCGACATGACCATGTCTTGCAATACATAAACATGATCCAAAGCGGCGAGAAGTACGCCTATTTCTATTCTATCTCTATTTCAATCAAAGACTTACATCAGCGTCTGTCCTCTGTCCTTGCCCGTAGGATACATTACCCTCTGGCTTTAATCAAATGGTTACTGGAAGTATTAGACAACAGCCGGGATCACTCAAATAAAGTAGAAATTCTATACGATATTGGTTGTAATTTGGATAAGTCCACAAAGATGGTGAGGAACGGTTGATATTCTAAGACTTGATATCATTAAGCTGTTGACTGACACGTTCCCGTTCCCCACGCAAGAGGGACTTATTTCCCAAAGAGCGAGCTGCAAACCGCTTGAAGATTGGAACGGCATTATTTCATTCCTATGCCCACAATTGGGGGTGTCAGCTTGAGTATAACCCTCGGCTGAGATCAGGTTGGGGCAAGTCAAATGGGGAAGGTTTGGAGCGGGTATGGTTCAAGAACTCTAAGTTAATCAAGCCAAACCAATATGCTACCAAACAGCGTAGGGTGGTAAGTCTTGATCTTTGGACGTCGCATCAGAACTTGATCCAGAGGGATCGGGCAGGTCAGTACTTTCAACGCTATTTTGACTAAACTACTTGAATCTATCTAAGTTTCTACTTCTCAAAATTTAATGCTGAAACGAATTTTTACCACGACAGTATATTACTTAGTCAGGCATACCAAAAAGTATCAACTCGAGCTTAACCAAGCACAGGCAAGTCTAGAACGGTTTGCGAGGGAAAATGCTTTGCATACAATTGAATACTTCGCAACGCAGTGGGAACGACAGCGGGGAATCCAACTGACAGCAATTAATGTGCGAACCAAAGAGAAACGAGCCAGATTGAAGGTGCTTTTAGCGTTAGAGGAGGAAATGATTGAAGCACGGTAAGTTAATGGACGGCGTTAGGATACTCAATGATCAGTAACATAAATAGCTCAATTTCAAACTTCCCAGCCGCAAGATGGCTGCACTCGATGCGGTCCATGCACCAATACGCACTCAGCAGCAACGCGATTATTGAATTCTCATTGCACTTACCAACATCCCATGTCTCTTCTTAACTACGCTGACTGCTTTCGTCCTAGTTTGTTACCTTTTTCTCGTTTTCTTTCTCTCAACAAACACCTGTGTTTCAATGCTCCCAATGCGGCGCATGATAGACGCAAACCTATGTCAGACCGTTAACCTATGTCTAGAAGAATAGCTACTATATAAAGAACTCATGTTTGCGTATCAAGTTGTTTCCTTACTCAAACAATTCGTCTCTTTATCTTGACACCTTCCAACAGGTGATTATTCTTCTATCACTATTACGTGATCTTCAGCCACTACGCGCTCTTTCATATCACTAACTAAGTGATTCCTACCAGGTGATTATTCTTCTATCACTATTACGTGATCTTCAGCCACTACGCGCTCTTTCATATCACTAACTAAGTGATTCCTACCAGTCACCTGCCCATTCCTATCTCATTAGGTTATGAGCCCAGCCCTATCATCCTAACCAGATTCAGCGCTATACAACTTCCATGAGCGACGATTTAACTTCATCGTCCGGATCAGCTACCCCAACCAATATCACCAACGATCACAACAATATCACTCACGTCATGACGAGCCATCAGTCCGCCAACGAAGCCTCTCACATCACTCCCCTGGAGCAAGATTGGCAACGTTGGTCTCCCCTCATGTTAGCCCACTTCATGGAGGGGGACCTAGATGGTATAGTAGATGGCACCAAGCAAGAACCTGACGACGACGCTGCTGCAGCTCTCAAACTCGACTATCATCGTCGACGTAAGAAAGCTGCAGGTTTCATTTCTCGTAAACTTAGTCCTGAAAACAGAGCGTTAGTTATCAATACTTCTAACATGAAGGATCCCAAAGCTATCTGGGATGCCTTAGTGAAACTCTATGCTTCTACGAAAGCTCGTAATCGTGCTCGAATTCTTCGCAAATTTCTCAATCTTAAATGCTCAGATAATTCTCTTGCTTCATTTCTCTCTGAATATCGTAAGATCACCCACGAGATGACTGAAGTTGCGTTCAAAATTGATGATGATATATTAGCTCATATGTTATTATATAAATTATCTCCACGCTATCACTCAACTAGAGATTTGCTTGCTCATTCTGCTGAAACCGGCGACACTTTGCTGTCGCTTAATCTTGTATTCGAACATCTCCAACAAATTGTCCTTGACTATCAACCCAGTACTGCACCTCCTCCTGCTGCTTTAGTCGCTGAGCGTCGAACTCCCTCCTATCCTCGCTGTCTGAACGGTATTCACAATCCTGCTACTGCTCATTCTGAAGAACGTTGTTATCAAGTCCATCCTGAATTGAAACCAATCCGGAACATCAACAAGTCTACTGATCGCACTTCGGCCAATGCAACCATCAGCGGTACGGTTCTTACTACTTACGTGTTTAATGCTACCCTTACTGGGAAACCTGTTCTTGACTCTGGCGCCTCGCAATCTATGTTCAGCTCTCGACTTTGCTTTACTGATTATAGACCTTGTCAAGCTGCCATCCACGTCGCCAACGGACAACAGATCAACGCCATCGGAACCGGAACCGTGTCAGGAACTCACAACGGAAAAGTCGTTTCTTTCACGGATTGCCTCCATGTACCTCAACTGTCAACTAATCTCGTTAGCATGGTGGCCCTGGTTCGAAAAGGCTGCACGTTCAACTTTGCTCCGGACTCTAGTTTCAATGTGGTTGTTGGCTCTGATGTGGTTCTTACTGGAGATACCAAGAGTGGAGTTATGGAAGTTAACTTCGATATGGGCAAGTCAACTTCACTTTCACTCATTGCATCACCTCAAGTTAATCCAGTCACTCTTCACAGGCGCCTAGGCCATCCTGGTCAAATCCCTTTGGAGAAAGCGTTTCATGGAGCTATCCTTCCTGACTCTTGCGAACCTTGTATCTTATCCAAACATCACCGCCTACCCTTTAAAAATCATCTTCCCATTGCTTGTGATCGCTTGTCTGTGTTATTTAGTGATCTAAGTGGTGTAATTTCTCCTCCTTCTCTAGGTGGCGGTAGATACTATTTTAAAATCACAGATCAAAAATCCAATTTCAAATTTGTTTATATCTTGAAAACCAAATGTGAAACCTTTTCTTATTTTGTGCAATTCAAAGCTTTCGTTGAAAATCAAACCAATCTTAAAATCAAGACACTCGTGAATGATAATGGTGGAGAATACACCTCAAAACAATTTTCTGATTTTATTAAGCATGAAGGTATAAAAATGGATTTTACTGCTCCATATACCCCTCAACAAAACTCCATCTCTGAGCGAGGTAATCGCACAACTACTGAAAAAGCAAGAGCATTACTTAAACAATCCCATCTACCTCTTGTTTTCTGGGCTGAAGCCGTGTCAACTTCAGTTTATCTCGAAAATCTCACACCTTTTGCTCGAGATAACTTCATCACTCCTTTTGAAAACTGGCATGGTAAAGCTCCCTCTTACGCTCATTTACGAGTATTTGGATGTCTTGCGTATGTTCACGTTGGTAAGGAACGTCGAACGAGCAAATTCTCTGACGTTGCGAAGAAAGGTGTGCTACTTGGTTATCAAGGATCAATGCACAATTACCGAGTTTACCTGCTCGATGATCATAGAGTTGTCTACAGTCATGATGTAGTTTTTAACGAAGATGTTTTTCCTTTTTCTGATCCTGCTGTCTTAGAAGCCTTCAACAAGAAATTTGGCAATTCAGACAATCATTTCATCGAAGACATCAACACTGACTTTGATTTTGAAAGTCCATTGATTCACTCACCGATTCACCCTCTCACTGAAGATGAGAACTTACTCATCTCCAATTCTACTGCTGACAACCCTGTCTCTTCGTCTCAATCATCTAATTCACTCACTCAAAATGAACGACAATCTGATCGAAGAGAAGATGAGCCTCAACCTGAAGATCAACTCCTGATGA